TTAACTAACCAAATCACTTTATACTTGATCAAAGAGGCCAGATGTAGAGTATATATACCACTTTTTAGGGCTTTACCGGCGAGTTTTATTGACTCGTTTGCTTGAATTTTGTTGTGACCTTCAAATATCTTCACCCAACACTTTCAATCGAAATGGAAGTAAGCTCAACAATTATAAAACAAGAGATTCCTCGAAACCCAACTTTTATTCTCAGAGACCTTCAATTTGCATGAAATTGCATAGAGAAGAAATCCGTGGACTCATTTCATTCAGAAGCCGACAGATGATTCCCGTTGATCTGCAGCCGTTCGGCTCTGACAACCTTCCGGTTGACGCAGTCCGTGAGACATCCTCCCACGTTTCAGGGGCAAACTGGCTGAGCTTTCGTCCATCAAACGACGGACATCATCAGATCTGGAACTCATTCTTGTAAAAGTCTCACGTTAAAACTAGGCCAAGAAGACTATCCTCCTTTATCCTACCAGGATATAGAAATCAAGGTTTGAGGACCCAAGAAAAAGGCATGAGCGAGACTGCGCAGGTCCGTAAGCAACTTTGGTTGGGATAATGAGATGTAAACTTGTAAGGGTGTAAGTCAGGTTACAAAACCACCTGTCTTAACCTCAAAGTTTAGGTGCTAAGGCGTAACCACCCAAGGAAAGGCATGACTAGGGTTTGGGTGATGGGCTGAATATAACTTGTTGGACGAGTGTGAGTGAAGTTAAAAGCATGAATAAGCGGACAAGTTGAGTCGCCTACTTTTGGATTGCAGCTTAACAGCCTCTCTCTCTTTCAATCTATCAATCAAGCATAAGTAGTTCTTACTCAACTTTCTATCACCATTCCTCCCATTCAGCGTACTCCATAATTTATTAATTTCGATAGGCTCTCTTATCCTCCTTTTCACAGCAGACGTACCATACTCGGCAAGCCTACTAGTTTGAGATCATTCTCTCTCATGTCCAGTCTCTGGCCAGTGTGTTCGGCCACTTGTGACCTTTAGATCCAGCTGCTTTTACAGGCATTTTTGTGTTTTCCTAATCTTTGCCGACTAGGATGATCCGTCTTAGCAACATATTTTCGACCACAGGAGCACATAATCTTGTAGCAGCCGAATCGCCATGATGGGTGATATTTTCTCAAAAAGATGGCATAACATAATAAAGTGTGAGGGTTTCTTTAAACATTACTTTTATCCCCCATTCTTTCACTAGTTCTCCATTCTTTTTTGAAAGATGTCATGATGATCAGAAACCCTACTTATTATCAAAGATCTGTCAATCTAACCGAGGATTCAATTTGGTTTGATGTAGTTGGATATTGTTGTGACACTTAGTCCGAAGTGGCCATTAAAGCATCCTCCTCTGGCTTCTGAGATTTCGTTTTTCGATTGAAAGGCATCAACAGAGATGGAGC